TCTCTATAAAAACCCTGGGCCAGAGACAGTCGGGCCCGTTGGAATAGGTTCCAGGCCCTCTCGAGGCTATCCTTTATTTTCTATCTGTTTATCTCCGCAAGATTCTCCGCTATAAATCCTTCTATCTAATATTTCCTGCTGATCACACTCAAGAAAACTCTGGGGAACTGTGGGGGTGGTGGGTAAACGCCCCATACTCTGTCCCCCGCACAAGCCCTCCCATCCTATCCCCGTCATTTTTCTCATATCTGTGATTCATGTATTTGTGAGTGTGCTGGTGATGAAATCTATGCCCTCACATATGCAGGGCAAATGCTCTACCACTGAGCTATGCCTCTACCCCTTCTATCATGTGCTTGTCTGTGCCTGGTTACGGTGTGGGTGTGGCTGAATGCTTCTTACCCTCATGGTCTACGAACTTGCTTCTCAGAGAATTATCCGTTGATTGGCCCGAGATTTCGGCAGGAGTGGTGGTACCACCCAGCCAGCCAGAGAAAAGAGTGGAGGGAGGAGCCCTTAGGGTTGTGGGGATGGAGAGAAGCTTGCTTCCAGCTGCAGCATCATTAGGTAGAACTAATGGGCAGAACTTGCTCCCAGGTGGGCTGCCGGTGTAGCCGAGCAAGAAGGGCCACGCTTGGCTGGGTGGTGGTGGCCCACACCTTTTAATGCCAGCACTTCCGCGTTCCAGGACAGCCAACCCTGTCTTTAAAAAAAAATCCACTCTTTGGGCACCTGAGAGCTGGAATGGAAGCAAGTGCCTCCTACACTGGGTGAGAGGGGATGATAGGCTTACAACAGCGGTTCCTATTAGTAATGAAACGATTTAACACGTTTTCTTTTGTTTATTCGTTTGTTTGTTTGTTTGTTTGTTTTGGGTACTGAGAATTGAACTCAGGTCATCATGCTTGGGTAATACTTTGTGCGTGTGTGCATGCGTGTGTGTGTGCGTGTGTGTGTGTGTGTGTGTGTGTGTGTGTGTGCGCGCGCGCGCGCGCGCCTGTGTGTGCATGAATGTACATCTGATCTCTCAGAGCTGGAGTTGCAGGCTTTCACAGAATTCCCAGCTTGTCATGTGGGGGCCAGGCACCATATTCTGTTTCCCGTGATTGTACAGCTGACCCACCTCTCCAGTCCAGTGGTTTAGTTTTTAATATACTATGTTTGAGATGCATGTGAGCCTTCCTAGCAGGGTGTATTGGTTAGGGTTTCTATTGCTGTGCTAAACACGTCCAAAAGCACCTTGGGGAGAAAAGAGCTTATTTCTGCTATGGTTCCACATCACAGTGCATCATCAAAAGTCAAAGCAGGAGCTGAAAGCAGAAGCCGTGGAAGGACACTCCTCAGTGGCTCGCTCTTTTTCTCTTCAAACTGGACATTTTTTTATTCCTTTTTGCCTTACTTGCTATGTTTTTTTTTTTTTCCTTTTTGGTTTTTTGAGACAGGATTTCTCTGTGTAACAGGCTGTCCTGGAACTCATTTTGTAGACCAGGCTGTCCTCGAATTTACAGAGATCCACCTGGCTCTGCCTCCTGAGTGCTGGGATTAAAGGCGTGCGCCACCACTGCCTGGCGGTAGGAGACTTTTGACGTCTCAAAGCCTTGCCTCCAGCAAGACCACACCTCCTAATCCCTCCCGAACAGTTCCACCAACTGGGGACCACGTATGCAAACATATGAGCCTGTGGGAGCTGTTCATTCAAGCCACCACCCAGGGTGAAGGCAGGGGGATGAGCTAGGGACAAACATTTTGTTTTACTATTTTCTTCTGAGGCACGGTCTCTCATTACCTCATCCTGACTGCCGGGAATTTGCTATGTAGACCAGGCTAGCTTCAGTCTCACAGACATCAGGGTGCAGGGACTGAAGACATGTGCCACCAAACTGTGCGGAGATAAACATTTTGAAACCACTTGAAAATGGATGATGGATAAAAATCCTCTGGCAAAGAACTGTGCTACAATAAGAGAAAAAGACCCAGAACCAAGTCCTGGGAAACTCGATTGAATGTTGGAGGGAATAGGAGGGAGAGTGATTGACAAGCAGTAATCAATAGTGGCAGCAGGGGAGCCGGGCAAAGTGGCCCCATCTGTGACCCCAGCTACTAGGGGGGTAGTGGCAGGAGGCAGGGAGATCTTATGAGCCCTGGAGTCCAGGGATGGTCTGGGCAACACAGTAAGACCTCAGAGGGAGGAGGTAGGGCATGAGGAGGAGGAAGAGGAAGAGAAGGAGAAGAAATAACTCAGAAGTCTTGAACAGTGTCCCATAAACCCAAAGATAAAGATGTCTGCAGAAATGAGTCCTTTAAATCCATGAGTCTCTAGGTCTTGGAGGTGAGGGAGAGGGCCGTAGCTGAAGAATCGTCCACTCCCTTTATAACCAGCCTTATCCTGTCCTCGCTCTTGATGGGTCTCTCCCATTGGGTGCTCTGCCCCCTGCTGGTCATCCTCAGTACTTGCCTTTCCTGTGAAGGGCCTTTTCTCCATCCGCAGCACTTAGAATCGGGGTTTGGAGGATGGGAGACTATAACGTTTCATTGGAGAGGACAAAGAACCTCTAGAGATGGATGGGAGTAACTGACAGCCGCACAATAATATGAGTACTCTTGATGCTACCCCCAGGTCACCCTGAGAGCGTCTCTGGGAACACTAAACACCCTTGCTGATGTCCCAGACAGTGTGGTGCAGGGCAGAGGCCAGAAGCAGCTGACCATTTCCACCAGTGACCAGAAGCTCCTGAATTTCATCCTTCAGCATGTGACATACACCAGCAAGGTGTACCAGCTTCACAAGGTGGACATGGGTGAGAGTCTGTCTTCCGACGGCAAAATGCTGAGGGGGCTGGAACATAGCACCAAATCCCTCTCAAAACCTTCCTCCTCCGTGAAGCCAGCCTGCTCCAAAGATTCTTCCTGTGTGCCAGATTCTAAGCCTAGACATTTACCTTCCTGTTTATAGCCCCCAATAGTGTCCCCTGTTGCCACTGACCCCATGGAGTGACTTGAGAAAGGTCGTTGACACTGCTCGCCTTGCGTACGGCAGACACCAAGTCATTGTCCTGTCACTAGCTAATACTTGGGATCACACAGAGGAGGAAAGGGTTCCTCTGGCTCACAGGTTGGGAGGCTCCAGTCCATGGTGAGCTGACCCTTTTGCTATTGGCTAGTGGCGAGGCAGCATAGTATGGTGGAGCTGTATGATAAAAGAGCGCCTCTTATCTCAAGCTAGGAAGCAAACAGGAACAGAAGAGATGGGAAGTGGACCCTGCTGTTACCTTAAAGGCATGCCCTTTAAGGGAACCTGAATATTTCCTAAGGGCTCCAGCCCCCAGTGTCACCACAGTGGCCTATGCCTATGCTATGTGGACCTTTGGGGACACTGATCCAAACCTTAGCACCATCCGAGTCTTTCTATAGTAGATGGAGTTTTGTTTTGCTTGATAGAGGGTCTCAGAGATCCCAGGCTGACATCGAACTCTGAGCTTGTGCCCCTTCCATTTCCACCTCCTGTGTGCTGGGATGATAGACATGGACCTCCAATAAAATTTATGCAATGCTGGGAATCAAAGCCAGGATGTCCTGTGTGGTACACAAGCACTTTACCAACTGAGTTACACCCCTAGCCTAGTTGTTTCTTGAGACAGGCTTTCATGTAGCCCAGGATATCCCAAACTCTCTTATGTAGCTATGGCTGGCTGGTCTTGAACTCCAGGTCTTCTGTTCTCAAGTTTTGAGATTATAGGCGTGTACCACCACACTCAGCTTATTTTTGTTTTTTACTTGTCTGTTCATTTGTTGCAGCAGGATCTTGTTGTGTATCCTGAGCTAGCCTCAGATAATCAGTTCCTATACCTCAGCCTCCATAATGCTGGATTATAGGCATACATCCCTATGCTTGGCCAACTTTATCTAGTGCTGTTAGCCGTTCTCTGCAACTTTTATATTTATTTGTCTTTATTTAAATTCCATTCAGTTGTTTATTGAGGGGCATGGACATGCCGCAGCGGGCGTATGGATGTTGGGCAACACCTTGAAAGGTTGGTTCTCTCCTTCTACTGTGTGAGAAGGAGAGATCCAGGGACCAAACTGAGGTCCCGGGTTTGGCAGCAAGCACCTTTATTTACCTGCTGAGCCATTTTGATGACCTCTCTGCAGCTTCTACAGCTGCCTCTGCTTCCCTTGAGAAGGCAACCAGCCCAACCAGCCTGTGCATCAATACCTCGTCCTGAGCACTCCTGGAAAGAGAGGATGTCCCCAGTTCCCCTTGGGACCTTGTCTCTCTCCACACCCCCATTATAGAAACTCCTGGGAGAACAAATCTTGTCTCCCTCTGGACAGCCTCAATTTCTATCTGCATCAGTTAAAAGTATCCTCTTTCTTTTTCCTTTTCTTTTCTTTTCTTCTTTGAGTAGCCGGCATAGCACAGTAATGGGGGAAATGCAATATGAGCAAATAACAATTTAGCTTAGTCGGTAGAGGACTTGCCTAGCACACACAGAGCCCTGGGTTCGATTCCCCAGCACTACTTAAAACTGGGCATGGGGGTGCTATGCCTAAAACCCTAGCACGTGGGAGGTGGACTCAGGAGGATTAGATGTCCCAGGTTATTTCCATAGTTATAGTGCGCATCCTCCACCCTTCAGAAAATGACCCTTGTGACAAGGTGCAGTGGACAGCGCTGTCTTGGTCTTGTCATTGGGGAAGCTGAGGGAGGGACTTATTTCAGATAGCTCTTGGCAGAATCAAACTTAATCCAGATCCTTGAATCTCCAGCCCATTCCAGCAGCATGTCCTTACCGCAGGTTGCCCCAGGAATGCACAGGCAGGAGCCAGGATGCCCAGCCTGCTGCATGGGTCCTCAGTCTCCTCCCAACTGCGACTCTCCCTGCAGCTGCGGGCTTCATTGGCTTCCTCGGGGCAGCAGGGTCTCATCAGAAGTCACACTACCTGGGCTCTTACCTTTCTTTTCCTTCCAGTGAGTTTGGAGTCCAAGTCCTCAGTGGCCAAGTTTCCAGTGACCATCAACCAACCTATTGTACCCAAGTTGTATGACCCTGGACCTGGTAAGGTTCTTGTCCTTGGGACTCAAGGATTGCATCAGGCTGGGTGAAGGTCAGAGGGTGTGGTGCTTTGAATAACAAGGGCTCCCATAGACTCACATATTTGAAGGCTTGGTCCCTAGTTGGTGGAACTGTTTTGGGAAGGATTAGGAGGTGTGGCTTTGTTGGAGGAAGTGTGTCACTGGAGTGGGCTTTGAGGTTTCAAATGTGCAAGCCAGACCCAGTCTTACTTTCTTTCTGCTTCCACTTGTGAATAAGATGTAAGCTTTCGGGGTCTGGAGAGATGGTTCAGTGGTTAAGAGCACTGACTGCTCTTTCAGAGGTCCTGGGTTCAATTCCCAGCACCCACATGGCAGCTCACAACTGTCTGTAACTCTAGTTCCAGGGAACATGACACCTTCACATAGACATACATACAAACAAAACACCAATGCACATAAAATTAAATAAATCTTTAAAAAAATAAGTTCTCAGTTACTTCTAAAGTGCCATGCCTGCCTGCTTGTTGTCTTGCTCCCAGTCATGATGGCCATTGCCCTAGTTAGGGTTTCTACTGTTGTGAAGAGACACCATGACCACGGCAACTCTTATAAAGGAAAACATTTAATTGGGTGACTTACAGTTCAGAGGTTCAGTCCACTATCAGCATGGTGGGACATGGTAGATGCAGGCAGACACGGAGCAGGAGAGGTAACCAAGAGTTATGCATCTTGTGCATGCAATAGGAATTGAACTGAGATACTGGACGTGGATTGGGCATATATGAGACCTCAAAGCTCACCTCCACAGTGACACACTTCCTCCAACAAGGTCACACCTACTCCAGAAAAGCCCCACCTCCCAATAGTGCCACTCGCTATGAGCTTATGGGGGCCAGTTACATTCAAACTACCACAGTCATGGACTCACCTTCTGAAACTGTAAGCAAGCCCCCAGGGAAATGATTTATGTATAAGCTGCCCTGGTCATGGTGTCTCTTCACAGCACTAGAAAAGTAACTGAGACAGAGGGATCATTTTTTCTTTATAATTCATGTTTATTATTTTTTATTGTGTTTGCACATGTGCACTTGTGTATGGGTGCCCACAAAGGCCAGAGGTTGGATCTCCTTAGAGCTGGCGGCATAGGTGGTTGTGAGCCACCTGGCGTGGATGCTGGGAACCAAACTCTGGTTCTCTGCAAGAGAAGTACATGCTCCTACCTGCTGTGGGTGTGTTAGGCAGGCACTCCACCTACAGAGTCACGTTTTCATCCCTTCTTCCATATTCCAGACCAGCCTGGTAATCCTGTGGACTCAACCTTGTTAGTGGTGAGATTATAGGCACTAGTGATTGTGTGTGTATATGCACACACACACATGCACGCGTGCACACGTAGCCAAGCCAGAGTGGGAATATGAAGTTCAGAGGACAATCTCAGGTGTGGTCCTTGCCTTCCACCTTATTTGAAGCTGTGTCTTATTTTTATTTGCTACTGCATACACCAAATTACCCGGCCCGCAACCTTCCAGAGATCCTCCTGTCTCCACCTCCCATCTCACCTTGGGAGCACTGGAATTACAGGTATGGCCATTGAGGCCAGCTTTATATGGATTCTGGGGATTTGAACCCACAACCTCATGTTTGTGCAACAAGTGCTTTGCTTCATCCACCAAGCCGTCATTCCAGTCCCGAGTGACTTTATTTTTAATGTTGAGTCTGTAACCATTTGTTCTTTTAGAGATTTTGCTCTTTGTTTTGTGAGATTGGGTATCGGTACACAGTCTAGGCTGGTCTTGACCTCACCATCCTCCAGCCTCTGCCTCCCAAGTGCTGGGATTGCAGGCGTGGGCCAGAATTCCTAGTGCTTGATATCTCTCTCTCTCTCCCTCCCCCCACTCAAAAGGAAGGAAAGATTTATTTTGGTTAGTGGTTTTAAAGGTCATTTTTCTCATTGCTGTTACAAAATACAACAGCAGCTTAAGGAACAAAGAGTGCTTTTGGCTCATAGATTGAGCGTTCGGTCCGTCCCAGCAAGGAAGGTATGTGTAGGAGTGGGAGGCAGTCAGTCACCTGTGCCTGTACTAGAGGAGCGGAAAGGAATAAACACCAGTGTCCACCTCCTTTCTACTTCTTATGCAGTCCAGGACCACGGTAGTGTCACAATAGCGACACTCGTTCAGGGTGGATTTTCCTACCACAGTTAAACTTGTCTGGAAATACCTAGATGTTTTCAAATTCTACCAACTTGACAATCACACTTAACGATCTCAGAAGGATTCATGGTGGTGGGAGCCTGCCACAGTTTGGTGAGGTGCGCACGGCGGGAATGAATCTCAGCCCATTTCTCAGTGCCTTTTAAAACATGCATCCTCCTTAGACCAATGATGATGAGGATCATCTCTTCCCAATTTCCACAATGTTTTCTTTTTCTTGGTGTGCCAGTTTAAATGAGAATGTCCTCCATAGGCTCATCTATTTGAGTGCTTGGTCCCTAGTTGGTGGAACTGTTTAGGAAGAATTACGAGGTGTGGCCTTGGAGGAGGTGTGTCACTGGGGTTGGGCTTTGAGTTTTCAAAAGCCTGTGCCAAGCCCAGTCTCAGAGCTTGCTCTCTGCCTGCAACTTGTGGGTCAGGATGTAAGCTCTCAGCTACTGCTCCAGTACCATGCCTGCCTGCCTACTGCCATGCTTCCAGCCATGATGGTCATGAACTAACCCTCTGAAACTATAAGCAAGCCTCTGGATTAAATGCTTTCTTTTATAAGTTGCCTTGGTCATGGTGTCTCTTCACAGCCATAGAACAATGACTGAGACACTTGTCATGTTATATTTGGCTACAGTCGCCACCATGATGCTGAATACTAGTAGCAGGCGGTTTTGTTTGCTCCTGACTTTAAGAACATTCTAGCATTGTTCCATTCATGTTGCTGTGTGGCAGGTGTTTCGGGGTAAGAACCCTCACTTCTTCCTTCTGTTTCCATTGTTATTTACCTTTCTGCTTTCAATTTTCCATTTCCTTACTAAGAATTTTTATTATGAATGAATATTGAATCCCCCCCCCCCCACCCCAGACAAGGTTTCTCTCTGTAGCCCTGGCTATCCTGGAACTTGTTCTGTAGACCAGGCTGGCTTCAAACTCAAAGACCCATCTACCTTTGCCTCCAAAGTGCTGGGGTTAGAGGCATGCACCACCACCACTACCCTGTAGATCTTTTGTTTTAAATGTATTTATTTGTGTGTGTGTGTGTGTGTGTGTGTGTGTGTGTGTGTGTGTTTGCTTATATATATGTATGTGCACCATGTGCTCAGTTAGTGCCCATGGAGGCCAGAAGAGGGCAACAGAGCCCCTGGAACTGCAGTTACAAGTGGTTGTGAGCCACCAGGTAGGTGCTGTGAATTGAACCTGGTGCTCACTGCTCCAGCTGTTTGTATCTTTTCCGTGGAAAAACTGACCCTTTTCTCTTTTCCAAGCTTTTTGCTCTTTTCCCTTTTTATGTGTACATATGTTGTATTTGTGTATGTACATGTTTACATGTGTGTCAGCACAGATGTGTGTAGGTGGCTCACTTGAACATATGTACATGAGCATGTGATGTGCATGCAGAGACCCAAGGTTAATGTCTGGAATTATCATCCACCACTGTCCCACCTCATTCATTGAAAGAGGGTCTGTCTGTCAAAACCACAGCCACTCTCTCCCTGGCCAGCTTACTCTGGGATCTCCTGAATCCATCTTCTGAGGCTGGATTTACAGGCATGTCACCACAGTCCACCAGCATGTATGAGGGTTCTGTGGATATGAACTTGGGGGGACTTCACATTTGAGTGGCAAGTGTTTTAACCACTGAACATCTCCCCGGCCTCTCCAAGCCGTGTGGGTTTTTTGTTTGTTTATTTTTATGAGTCACATGCTTTAAAGTGAACAACCTGTTCCAGGTCCTCTGGTCTTCAGATAGACTTCTTTCTAACTGTACTTTCCTGAGACAGAGGCCAGGGGACTTCTCCTAGGAAGCTCTTCCTAGAAGTGATGGCAAGGGTAGGTCTTGAGTCCTTTAGACCGCTTCTTCTCTTCCTAGGCTCGGGAACCTTTCCTCTGGAACCCCTTAAGTGACTTCTAGTATTTAGATGGAAGCAGGACACAAGGGGTTGCTAACAGAGAAACAGAAAATGAAGAATCAGACAGCAGGAAATTGGCATGGTAAAGCCAAGCAGGGGTGAAAAGATTTCACCCAGTTGGGCAACCTTGTACTGTTGTGGGATCTCTGAACACACCGTGTGAACATGTATCTCTGGTCTATCTCACCTGCATATGACATCTTCTGATTGGTTTAATAAATAGCTGAATGTCCAATAGCCAGACAAGAAAGGATAGGTGGAACTTCCAGGGAGAGAGAGGAACTGGGGGGAAGAATCTGAGCGTGTGTGTGTGTGTGTGTGTGTGTGTGTGTGTGTGTGTGTGTGTGTTAGGGGGGAGATTTGCCAGCCAGATGCGGAGGAATTCAGACTTCTGCCATATGGCAGAATGTAGATTAATAGAAACAGATTAATTTAAGTTATAAGAGCTAGTTGGGAGCAAGCCTAAGCTAAGGCCAAGCTTTCATTATTTTTTGTTTGTTTGTTTGTTTCTTTTGTTTTTTGTTTTTGTTTTTGTTTTTTTTTTTTTGAGACAGGGTTTCTTTGTAATGTTTTGATGCCTATCCTAGATCTTGCTCTGTAGACCAGGCTGGCCTCAAACTCACAGAGAGATCAGCCTGGCTCTGCCTCACAAGTGCTGGGATCAAAGGTGTGGGCCGCCAATGACTGGCAAGCTTTCATAATTAATAAAAAGTCTCCGTGTCATTATTTGGGAGCTGGTGGTCCAAAGAAAGACCACCATTATACATTATAACTTCCCAGTGCAGCTGACACACTCTAATTAAGCACTTTCTGTGTATAGAAGGCCTGAGGTCCCCAACGCTGACCGGTCAGAGTAGAAAGAAGCCATCAGGTGACGGGAGTGTAGCTCAGTTGTTAAATGCTTGCTTAGCATGCATGAGACCCTAGGTTCAATCCTTGGCCTGGCAGAAAACAAAACAAAGCAAAACCCATCTGAACAGAGCAAATCCAGAGTCCGGTTCCAACATCCACTTTTAAATTTTTCTCTAGAGAGGAAGCTCAGGAACCTGGTGACCATTGCCACCAAGACTTTCCTCCGTCCCCACAAGCTTAAGATCCTGCTGCAGAGTATTCGAAAATATTACCCAGACTTAACTGTGATTGTGGCCGATGACAGCAAGGAGCCCCTGGAAATTAAAGATGACTATGTGGAGTATTACTCCATGCCCTTCGGGAAGGTACGTTCCCCTCAGACTGGGAACACCTAGCTCCCAGAACAGGAGAGCCCCAGCTTCAGCTGCTTCCATGGTCTCCTCTAGGGAGCAGAGTCCTGTGGTAAGAGGGGCCGGGGATTCTCTCATTCAGATGCAGAGGGAAATTGTATCAATCTCACGTTTCCACATTAACGAAGTGTTAGTTTTACTCCATCTTCACCCATTTGGTGTGGAAATTGACAGGGGTTCTTACGGGAGCTGACATCTGATTGTGGTGTGTAGGGGTAACAACAGACTTCTGTTCCCTGTGACTGCACCCAAGCTATCCTCCCCCTTAAGGCCTGTTTCTTCTCCTCCCTCTTTCCTTCCCATCTTCCCCCAAAGATAGAAAGGGAAAGTTATCCTTGATAACAGATGTTCCCCAAAGCAACATCTCCCAGGAGGTAGAAGGGCTCCAGTCCATTCCCAGAGGCCACTGGACCAAAGAGGGGCTTCCCACCTTTTGTCTCAGTCTCTGAGTCAGTGGTCTGTCATGACCTCAGAAGCACTCTGAGGCACGGACTTCTTTGACCCAGCAATTGTCGGCCTGTCTGAACTATGGAATCCCCACAGATTCCAGCCTCCCCCATGATAGGAGGCAGCCTGGCCACTGAGAATTCAGGAAACCCTACCCCCAGATGACAATTGCTGATTCCACCCCATGCCACCTGCAGGGCTGGTTTGCTGGTAGGAACCTGGCCATCTCACAGGTGAACACTAAATATGTCCTCTGGGTGGATGATGACTTTCTCTTCGACAACAAAACCAAGATTGAGGTACTGGTGGATGTCCTGGAGAAAACGGAACTGGATGTGGTAAGGGACAATGGCCAAGCTCAGCCAGCCGCAGTCTGTAGTGATGAGGAGGGATGGAGAAAATAGAAATGATGGGTGATATCACTCTGTATGCTGTAAATGTGTTGCTCTGATTGGTTGATAAATAAAATGCTGATTGGCCAGTAGCCAGGCAGGAAGTATAGGTGGGATAAGCAAACAAGGAGAATTCTGGGAAGAGGAAGGCTGAGTGAGGAGATGCCAGCCCACCGTCCAGGGAGCAGCATGTAATGACACACAGGTAAAGCCACGGAACACGTGGCAACATATAGATTAACAGAAATGGGCTGAGTTTAAGTGTAAGAGCTAGTCAGTCATAAGCCTGAGCTAATGGCCAAGCAGGTATAAACAATATTAAGCCTCTGTGTGATTATTTTATAAGCAGGCCATGGAACCGAAGGGCCCAGGGAAGACTGGAGAAACTTCTAGCTACATTGGAATGTCAGTGTCTGAGGGAGGAGCAGAGGGGAAAGATGAGGTGGAGGAGGCGTTCACAGCTCGCCTCGAGAGTGCATGAGTTCTGCTTCTGACCCCTTAATTGTTTTCTTTGAACAAATTTTGTGAGTCACCATGTGGTTGCTGGGAATTGAACTCAGGACCTGTGGAAGAGCAGCCAGTGCTCTTAACCTCTGAGCCATCTCTCCAGGCCTTTGAGCAAATTTTGTACCCCACGCTAAAAAAGTTCACAGTTGTTCTGTTTTTAAAACAGCATGTTTATACGTCGTTTCTATTTTTTTTCTGGACTCTATGAAGTTTAAGAGAACTGTGTTCTTGTTCAGTCATAACATTTAAAACTATTTTTTAGATTTATTTTTATTTTATGTGTAGAATTGTTTTGCCTGCATCTATATCTGTTCACCATGAGTGTGCCTGGTACCCACAGAGGCCAAAAGTGGGTGTTGGATCCCCTAGAACTGGAGTTACAGATGGGTGTGAGCTGCCCTGTGGGTGCTGGCTAGGAACAGAACTCAGGTCCTCGGCAAGAACAAGTGCTCTTAACCTCTGAGACATCTCTACATCCTCCATGACATTTGTTTTAAATATAAAAATACAATTGGACACGGTGGTGCACACCTTCAATTCCAGCACTGGGGAGGCAGTGGCAGGAGGATCTCTGTGAGTTCAAGGCCAGCCTGGTCTACAGAGTGAGACAACAATACAAAGAGAACAATAACAACAAACCCTAAAGATATAAATATTAGCTGTGTGCAGTGGTGCATGCCTGCGATCCCAACGCTTGGGAGGTGGAAGCAGAACTTGGGAGTTCAAGGCCAGCCTGAGCTACAAAGCAAGTATGTACGTATGTGTATACACATTTGTATGTGCGTGTGGAGATGGGGATTCAGTGATCCAAAGGACCCAGCAGCAGTATGAAAAGAGCTGTGGCCACATGGCAGAGCCACTGAGGGTCCTTTGAAGGCTAGATCCACAGTCCAGCGAGGCTTCCTAGAAGGATGACTTCTGACCCTGCTCAGGCCCCGGTTTCTGTTTGCTGACTAGGTTGGTGGCAGCGTGCAGGGAAATGCGTTCCAGTTCAGGCTGTTGTTGGAGCACAGCGAGAAGGGGGGCTGTCTTCACCAGAGGTGGGGAGGGTTCCGGGCCCTCGATGGCTTCCCCAGATGCGTGGTGACCAGCGGTGTCATCAACTTCTTCTTGGCTCACACAGAACAACTCCGGAGAGTTGGTTTTGATCCCCGCCTACAGCGAGTGGCTCACTCAGGTGCGAGGTTTGGAGGGGTGAGGCAGGGAGTGGGGAGGGGGTCCTCCTCGGAAACCCCTTCTCGATACACCAGGGATCTCCTTCCTCTTTCGCTCCCAGACTATGGCGCTCATGGCCCCTCTTGCCATCCTCAGCTCTCTGTGTCTCCTCTAGGCTGCCTCTGCCCATTGGAGACACCCCACTTCCTTTCCCCAAGCTCTGTCCTTTACTTTTCGTGACCCTGCTTCACATTCTTCTCTCAGAAAGTCTCCGTCAACTAAAACTGCACCTG